GGCGCTGTTGCTGCTCTCATTCCATTGGCCAAACCTGATGTCAGTGGAGATGAGGAATTATAATCCCCCCATAGACCCTGCAAGTAATGTGGCAACGGGTGGAGATAATCCTTTTATAGGAGGGGAGCAATAATTGGGAGTAATAATAAAATCTGTCATACTGTCACTTATACAAAGCATGGATGTGATGTCTATGAATAGTTTAAAGAACAAGAATAAACACTTAGATGTCTACTACCAAGCTAAAAAAATAAATAAATAACCAGTGCTTTTGAAGCCCACTGTATGGGCTTTATGCCACTTACCCAAATAAAACCATTCTCTTGAAATGTGTTTTATCATACCCTTCTTCATATATTCTGTTGTATGAATATGCCACAATTTATCTTTTCTATTGAGTGAATTCCATTTTCTCTGCTAGTGTGAAAACGTTGCTAAGGACATTCTTTTTTGTGTCTTCTGGTGTACAGCACACATTTCTCCAGGATATGTACTCAGAGGTGGGCTTGCTGGACTGTGGGGCATACACCTCTTTGGTTTTTGTAGATAATACCAAATTGTTTTCCAGAGCAGTTGTTAACAGTTCACCTTTGCACTCACAGTGTATGTGTTACCAGTGCTTACATCCTTGTTCACATTTGAAAGTCTGACCATACCTAATTTTTAGTCTGATGGGTGTAAATCAGATTTCCATTTTGAATGTACAGGGAGGTGCTTCTCAAACTTTAATGTGTACACAAATCACTTGGCGATACTATTAAAAGAGGGGCGGGGTTTGGTTCAGTAAGTTGGGGTAGGGTAGGAGCCAAGAGCCTGCATTTTTAACAAGCTCCTGAGCGATGCCAGTGCAGCTGGACCACAGGCCATGCTTTGAGTTACCAGTATCCCTAAGGCACTAAGATAGAGTTGCCCCTGTGTTTGGCTGCACATAGCACCTAAGGAGTCTTTGGAACAAAACTGTGAAATAACAACATTAGATACAGCCAATTCAAACTAAGGTTTTTGAATCATCCCTGATATTTTTATTGACATTGCATGAGCATGTAGATAAGTAACTTTTTTTTAATGTAGCAATCCAGGGGGGAAAAAAAAAAAAAGCTCCAAGCCACAACTTTAACCACTCTACTTGTATCTGCTGCAGATGTTCTTTTATTTTTTAAATTTTTATCTGTGTAAACATTAGCCATTAATGAATAAAGAAATAGATTAGTTTTTTCCTCTAAGGATTACTTTATAATTTACAAAGAGAATTCAGAATTTAAACCTGAGCCTTT